CGCAGAGAACTAAATGACTTATTCAAATTCTCATTTATCGACAATGGTCTCTTTGAGAATTAGAAGAATCAGCTGCTAATTTATTTTAATCATTGATTGATGTTGAATCCTTTATGTTTATTATTATAATTGTCCGTGAACACATACTCATCTCATACTTTTTACATGAGTAAGGTGCGAAAAATGAGCAGTCTAGATATCAATCTCTGTTTCATTTCTCTTCTCTCAATAACAAGTCATTATCATCATCATTTTCTTCGTTTTTGTTTTGTTTTTTCTTCATCAGTAAATGACTTTTTTTTTTTACACATATTTTGATTTGTTCTCACTTTTTGCATATTCGTTTTCTCGTAATTATCAACATATGCATCGGTTGGATACCGTTTCATGTATATACGTTCTGTAAAACACAAACACGATAATGATGGACAAGAGAAGAAACAGAAGAAGAGCAGAAGAAGAATGTCCACGAAATATGTTCGTGAGAACGCGTCCGGTTGAAACTCAATGTAACTCGAGTCGTGGTATTGCACCGATGAAAAAGAGAAAAAAGCTAATTTTGTGCGGTACAAACGTTTCAATTAAAGAGTACAAAAGACCGTACAGTCAAAAAGTGTGTCATTGGACTTTGATCTTGTGATCAGTCGGCATCATATTGATTCGATCACTTTTTTTAAAAATTTTCTGAATCTGTTATTAGGTAAAATAAAACAAAACATTAAAATTAATTTTTAATCATTTATTATAATCCCGTTAATATATCAGACTTTTATACCATTTAGACGTTATATAAAACAAAATCGTATCTGTGCTTATTATTAGAACCTACATATTTTATTCATAAGTTTAATATAATATATTTATTAATACAAAAGAATATACAAAATCAAAATTCTTTTAATGAATGACTAAACTTCATGATTTTATATATAATAATATCGAAAACATGATAATATGTAACTCAAGAATAAATATAAAAATCTTCTTGTTTTCTAGTCAATAATTTCATCTATTTTAAATCTTCTTTAGAAAAATAAAGAAAATAAATATTTCAATATCATTTTCATCTTCATTGTATATATAATTAAGTAATACATAAACGATGTTCTTGTGATAAAAAATAGTTTATGCAAGTCTTGTTTTTTTTTTTTTTTAGTTCTTTTCAAAAATAATTATTTTATTAGTCATTGATATTTTAATTTAATTTGATAGCTAAATATGACATCAATATAAAAATCACTGTTTGCCATCAGAATTTTTTTTTAAAGTTGAACGATATATACAATCGATAAGAGATAAATTTTGATGAAATGAAGTCAAAAAAAAGGATTTTTGTATTTGTTGAATTGAAATCGATCATGTTAAATATGTTTATTAATTGAAGTACAAACGGTATTTTCATCTTTCACACTTGTTATTTGCTCAATTATGCAAGCGATTGAGTTTTATTCATTCTCACTTGAAGATTTTTATACCTATGATGTGTCAAATCAATATTGTATGAGTATCGATAGAGTTGATTAGTCTTTTTAAAAGCTGTTAAAATGGTTGGATAAGTCAATGAAAGAAACAAAAAATAAACGAAATAGAGAGAGAGAGAGAACGAAAGAAGACAAGAGAAAAAGCCTTCAAAAGATGAAACAAAATTGTTGTAAAACGGTGTGAAATTTTATCACTCTTATTTGATTCAAGTGATCAACATCTCATTCTTGAAAATGAAAAAAAAGAGAATAAGTTTAAAAGATTGCTTCATCAATCTAGCAGCAGTAGTAACAAATAAAAAGACGACAACGAAGAAGAATAAAAAAGAAAAAAGTTAAAAAAAGAGTTTTATGATTGTCTATGAAATATAGGTAATTTGTAAATTTCAAAGAGATCAAGATAGAAATATTACATCGATGAAACGTGCTTATATCTAAAGGAATAACAAAACTATCATTTCCGAAGTGATATGTGCGCGTGTATGATTAATTTGATTTACTTCTTGGCGGCAAACGTGCGTGCGAGATTAATAAGGCAAATAAATAAAAAATAAAATAAAATAGACAAAAAAATTATATATGTGTGAATCCTCCGATTTATTTTCGTCACGGATCGACACTCACCGCGTTCGTTTGATCGAGAAAAAACATGCTAATTGTTATGTTGAGATTATCCGAAAATAAAAAATAAAAAAAATTTCTTGGCACTAGTAAAGTTAAAATCATCAACTCTCACTCATATACTTCAACGAAGTGGTCTCTCACTGTTATCAATAATATCATTACTTTCAGATTAGCTTTCACGCATGCTTTAAACTTAAGAAAAAAAAAAGGACACTTGCCGCTGCTTGTCACTAATTCGATGTGTACATATGCATATACTTGATCTCTCCTTCTTCTTTTTTTTTTGTTCGTTTCTCCATTTTTCTTTTTTTTCTTTATCGATAGATAGGTTTCGATTGGATAATAATTTTCATTGGTTGCTACTGCTCTACCGATTGGTTTTTTTTTTCTTTTTAGAACAAACCGGGAGCGAGCTCGACTACTCATATTCATCATGAGATACCTTTATATATTTACTGTATGAAGAGAGAGAAGAGAATAAGAAAAAAAACCCATTATCATGATTTTCGAAGGTAATTTTTGTAATCTTTGATATCCAAATAGGATAGAAACAAACACTCGTTTTTTTTCTTTCTTCATACATCAACCACAAATCTTTTCTTCTAACTGAAAACATACTCGGTAGGTTTATATATATATAAACAGAGATATGACATCAACAAGTCGAAGCAAATAGCATCTCAGTTATAAAAAAAAAATACACGATACTTGCGATGAGAGCCCTAATTGTGTCTCCATTTATGACCTACTCTCTCAATAGGTTGTCCCAGAAAATTTTATGATCATTTCAGAAGCAACGAAATTTTTCATTTATTTAATATCAGAAAACAATAAGTAATTTTAATTCATTTTTCTTTTTCTTTTTATATATATAGATACGAATTTTGTTTTTTTGTTTGCATGTCGCCTGTATTCATTGCAAATCCGAATAAAATGTGTCCTTCATTAGATTCTTCATCTATGCCGGCCATCTCATTGAATAATACACAAATTCGAACTTTAATTAATATTTATCCACCTACACCAACTTTAATGCCATCTGTAATTGCACAAAATCTTCCAATGAATCCAATAGATTTACGTAAATATACTTCATCAATGGTTTCTACTCAAGCTTTATACCAATTTTATTTTCCTCATTTATTTTCTCTTCAAAATCAACAACAAACACATGAAATAAATGATCGTGGAATAAAACGATCGAATACTTCAGATGGTAAGTGTTTTGTTTATTTACTTTTTTCGTTTTTTTTTGATTTGTTCATCTTTTTTTTTTTTTTTTGTAAAATTTCATTTAAAGAAATATCATCATTACAAAAACGAATATCAAATATACCACAAAAACGTTTTGATTTTGCTAAATTAGCTGATGAAGCTATTAAAGATAAAGAAGAAATATCTAATTCTTCAACACCATTGGATGTCAGTAGTAACAAAATAGACTTATCCGTATCATCCACAACATCTTCTCAACCAGCACCAGCTGCTATCACTAGTGGTGTTTCATTACTTACCTCTAATACTACTCTGTAAGTATTGTATATATATATATCTTTGTTTATTTGTTTGTTTGGACTTCTGGGGCAAAGATTAGTTGAGTTGTTGTCATCATGATGATCATCATCACACTAGTGTGCGAGAGAAAGAAGAGGAGGAGAAGAAGATGATGATGATGGTTATCGGATAATTGAGACTATCGAGATAAGATGAGGACCAAATGACTGACGCCTGTATTCACTTTCTCTTGATAATTAGAAGAAAATAGACAAAGAAAACAAATAAAACATTTTTTTTTAATAGATTTCTTCGCGAAAAAAAAAGAAATCAAGTAGATATTTCAAGAATTTTGTAGTTCTTAAGTGTTTAATTTTCTGTCTATCATTATCCTTCACATTGATTTCTATCTATGTAAAATAAATAAATAAAATCTAAAGATTTACACATATACACATACACAAACATACACAAAAAGAAAATTAATTAATATTTAGTAAATCTTCTCATTCTTCAACTCATTCGGCATTTCATCCAGTACTTATTACAAATAAAAATACTTTAAATAAATTATCACGTCGTTCATATTCATCCAATAATACTAATAAACATAACAGTATTAATGGTATTAAACGGTAAATTATTTTTTTTTTTTTGTGCTACATATTATTTCTAAAATAATTATAATTGTAGAAAAAAACGAGCTAAAGAACATATATGTCAATATTGTAATCGTCATTTTACAAAATCATATAATTTATTAATTCATGTTCGAACACATACAGATGAACGACCATATATATGTGACTTATGTTTTAAAGCATTTCGTCGACAAGATCATTTGAGAGATCATAAGTAAGTTTTGTTTAATGATAAATCTTTATTTTTTTCTTTTTTTTTGTTTTATAGATATACTCATTCGAAAGGTAAATAAATAAAGAATAGAATAAAAATTTTCAATTTTTATTTCATAGAAAAACCATTCAAATGTCATGATTGTGGTAAAGGTTTTTGTCAGTCACGTACACTTGCTATGCATAAAGCAACTCATCAACAACCGCCAATTCATCATGGCCGGTGAACATTTTTTTTGTTTTTTCTTTTTGTGTTTGTATTTGTCTTTTTGCATCTATCTTCTTCTTTTTTTCTATGTTCTGTAATTAAATAAGGAAAAATATTCATGTTTTAATAAACGATACAAAATAGAATCTTCCTATTCTGTTGGTTAAAAATGTAAAGACGTATACGCAGTGCTAGAAATTTCTTTTATTCTATTTCTATGATGATACTTTTATTACATACATCTGATACCTGTCTTTATGATAGAAGCTGAAGGTCATTTAATCAACAACATACGATTGGAGAAAAACACAGACCACTCTTTTTTTCTTTTCGTTTTTTTTCTATCTACGATAGAAAGAAGGTGCCTATCAGCCTTTTGTATTTCATGTTCTTTTTAGTCGTCTTTTACAATTTGGTGATTAGCTTCTAGTTTATTAACTAAATACTAGAAAAAAAAGTACAGTTTCTTAATATTTCACGAAAAAAAACAGAAAAATGTAATATGTATAATATTAAAGTTGTTGTGAATACAAATGAAACTATTAGATTCGGTAAAGCTAATAATGTAATATCAGTGTTGCCATCTTGAGAATGTCAATATAGGTGTTAATTTTCTCTGTACCCATTAACACCCAAAACAGATGAAGAAACACTTTCTATTCGATCTTCCGTGTATATTGAATCTGATTTTGTAATTGGTTTTAATACTACTATGAAAGAATATAGATCGCGGAAAAAAATATTTTGAAAATGATTAATTTAAGAGTTGTATTGAGGTGTTTTTTATTAATAATTAATCGTTTAAGAAATTTATTACTTCTTCTACTTAGAAAGTTTACTTTGCATTGCCTATGTTTATTTCATAAAAAATTTTCGAAAAAATAAATAATTCTTGTTCGTCTTTTCTCTACTAGTCAATGCACCATCAACGTTGTCGAAGTGTACTTTCCCTATTGATGACTGAGATCAATCGTTTTTGGTCTCAGAATTATTTTACTCATATCTACTCGTTCTCAATGTCAATTGTCATGAGCTATCGCTGTATATAGGATTGTCTTTGAACAATATAACAAAAAGAAAAGAAGATGATTTCATTTGTTTGTCACACTTACTATTATGTATGACTACTATCCCATCTGTTGAATAAGTTATGATGACATCTAATAGAAATAGATAAACATCTTTAAAATTATTAAGCTGGTTATTATTTGTCACAAATAAAGTATAAATAGACGAAAGAAAAGAATCGAATAATTTTCGATATTTACAATCATGTCTCCTTATTTTGATAATGCAGATTCAGTTACGTTAGTATAATTTTGTTTTTTTCTTTTTGCTTATTCTATATATTTAATGTAAATTTCGTATTGATAGGTTTCGAAAACGTGAAAAACTTGTTGCTCTATTAGGTCGAACTGATACTGGAAAAACAAGTACATTTAATTTAATGACAGGTCTATCTCAACCAATTGGTAATCGAATATCAAGTACAACACATCAATGTTATTCTTATTCAAATTTTATTGATACACCTGGTTTTGGTGATACACGTGGTGGTGAATCATCTCATCTTTCTTTAATAGATTTTTTTATTTCACTTTCATCTGGTATTGATATTCTTCTATATTTTGTTCGATATGGAGCAATGAATTCAACTGATCTTGATTTATTTGTTGATATATATAAACGTATATTATCCAATGAAGCTTATTCAAATTCTTGTCTTGTTATAACTGATTATTCATTACCAAATCTAGAACAAGTAAATATTAATGAACATGAAGAAAGAAAATATCTTCTTAAACAATTACATGATAATGATAAATATTCATATATATTAGATAAATTTGATCATCGTGTTATATTTATTGATATATCTCCATATAATTATAAACGACGAGAAATATCAAGAGAAATAATTGATAAATTTCTTCATTCATTTCAACCAATAAAACGTTTTAATTGTCAAAATCTTCAAGATGCATATCGTCTTCTTCGACGTACACAAGAAATGGAAACACTTTGTTTAGATTTAAAAACTCAAATTGATCAATTAACAACACAAAATCAACATTTAACACATTTATATGAACAACAAATACGACATTGTAAAGATTTAGAAGAATCATATCAACGTTCAACAAAACAATTAGAACAAATACATGAACAAACTTTATTAACTATTGAAAATAATCATCTAATAACAATTGAAGAAATGAAACGACAAGAATTTCGTATACGTGATGAAGTTAAACAAGTACGACATCAACTCGAAGAAATTGAACGTGAAATGGACAGAAGTATAACATTTAATGTTTTTTCTTATATTCCACTTATTCATATTGTAACAAATATTATTGAATTAAATACTAAACGACGTATTACACAACGTATTCGAAAAACATTACATTCGAAAAAGAAAGGATTGTAAATAAAATATAAAAGAAAAAGGCAGAGAAGTGATGGATTTAATTTGTATTTTCATGTTGAAAATAAATAAATTATTATTTTGTTTTTTTTGTGTATAGAGAATATTTTTATAGTAATTTATATGACTAAGAAAGATAATCAAAATCTATAAGATACATTCATGCAAATTTTCTCTCAATTTAACCTAAAAGTTGGTTTACAGATGGGAAAATATAAATGATAATCAAAGTTTTTAATAAGAACTTTTCAACGATTTCAAATATATCACAAGTAAAACCAATCAGGTGTACATTTAGCTAATAGTAGCTATATAAAAAAAAACAACCTATGTCGTTGTGTTCTGTTGTCTTCTTCGAGTTTTTACATGGTGAAAATAAGGTCTATATCTTGTCATAGAATAAACGAATGTGTATTATAACTCAAGAACATTGAACATATTCAAGTCATTAATTGGAAGACTTTTCTCGTGAGATATTCGAATTTCAAAGTATTTACAATGAATGTTATAAGGCAATAATTTTTAAATCTTTGAAAGATCTCAAAATAACATTTATACTGGCTTTAGTACATAAGAAAGACTCTCAGGATAGTAGGAAAACTTCATTCCATATCGACCAAAAGAAAAGAGCAAAGATTTCACCATAAAATGTTACAGTAATTATTAGTTTTCCACATGGCATCTATCAACAATCAGAGTTTTATTAGGTGATACAGTAACATTTTCACATTCCCTTGGTTTCCACACTTACAAAATGTGCTCGGTAATATCTGAAAGATTGCTACAAGATTGTCTGTTTCAAACTTACTTTGTAGAGGACTCTCTCTCGTTCTTTCTTTGTATGCAAAAACCTATTGATCGAAAGTGTTCAATAAGAGCAAATACTGCTGCGAAAGACATATATTAGCTGATTAAGAATCCAAGAAATTTCAAAACATAATGTAGTCAAACAAAAAGAAAGTATGCCTACGCTAAATTAACGATTGTGTCGTTCGTCTTTGGATTTGTTAATGCAACTGCTTCCTTCTAAGGTATATTTTTAGATCTTTCAGAGATTTGTTTACAAATCTTCAAGTCTCACAAGAATTTCACACTTAGATTTTGAAAGAACTTGAAATTCTAATTCTAACGCGGTATTCTAAAATTCTTATTGGCTCTTTTAATCAGTTGAAAAATGTTTTTGAATATTTAAAAACAATCTTTTAGTTTTAATGGAAATAACGAAGGTATAAGGAAATTAATTATGTTTGACCCATGAATTTTTCTATGAACGAGTCGTACAGAAATTATCCAGGGTAGGAAACAAGAAGAATGAATTAACTTATTAGAATTTAGGTATGGGATTTTCTATAATAGTCTAAGTCAAATTGACATAAGCAATTGAATGATTATTTCATTTCGAATACTTCTATTTTATTTTCATCTTCTTGTAAATGTTTTAAATTATTATATATTTACTTGATCATGAGTAAAGATACAATTCATGTCAAAATATGTCTTTTACTATTGACTCTAGATGAATTCTTATTACGTATTGATAATATTCCATTACGGATTCTTCACTATGAACATAATATAGCAATTCAAATCATTGTATGCCTACTGATATGTAACAGATGATTCAAGAATAATGAACCTTTTTGTATATTAATGATGTTTGTTTTAAGATTTTGTGATTTAAACTTGAATTTTTTTTCAAAAAATTTGATTTTTACAGCTCTACAGAATAGTATATCTGTTATTATATGTACATAACACCCATTATTGTTCAACACATGTTCCAAAGAAACAGTCGAGAATAAAAATTTTTCTTAGATAAATTTTTCTAAAATAGTTTTTTTTTAACTGGATATTTCTATTGTTTTATACGAGTATCTATCGATGCTACCTTTGGCTAACTAATAGAAGTGACCGGCTGTTGTAAATTCAACCAGTCGTAAATTTAGCTTTGAACTATGGGATAGTCAATGTGTTCTCATCGATGATAGAACAGATGTGGATTTGACATCATTATTGTATTAGTTGATGGATATGAAGCTGTAAACCGTTTTACTGGAATGTTAAATTCTATATCATCGTTATTTTTTTCAGTAACACTTGAGCAAGAAAAACAAAATCTTCGCACAATTTTGAACATCTTATTAGAGTAGTGTACAATCTCATATCCATTAGTTGATACAATAACAATATTGAATCAATGTCCTTTTTATCATCGATCAGAAACATTGATTATCGCATAGTTCAGATTTAAATTTTAGACTATTTGAATTTGGAGATATTGGCTATTTTAATCAATTGGTAAAGAGTAACATCGATAGATACTCTTATTAAATAATTGAAATATTCAGTCAAAATTCTTTTTTTTTCTTTAGAAAAAATTATTTAAGAAAATTTTTATCGTAGACTGTTTGTTGGTAGTATGCCTTGAGCAATAATGAATGTTGCTGATATTAGTAACAAAAATATATTATTTTGCAGAATATGCAAAGAAGTTTTTCAAAAAAACTTGAGTCGCAACCAACGAGTATTAGAAGAGTGATTATTGATACAAAGAGAGGGTCATTAATCCTGCAACAGTCGTGATATTAGTTTTATTGAAACGGCTATTAAATTTATACATTGTTAGTTTAAATCCGTTGTTTGAGATTGAAATAGCTGTAAAGTAATACAGTTCTGTCTGTTTTATAAAAGCAAACAAGTAATTTATCAAATCTTTCTTGGTGTTTAGCAACTTGTTCTCTATACTAAAGTTCGATGTTTTTCTTCTTTTTTCACTTATCACTCAACATGTCCAATAACGAAAATTATTGTCGTTCATAATACCATTAAACTAAAAGGAAGACAGACATTTGCTTTGTGCAGTTTCTGTGCAATGTTTATTTGCTTGTTTAACAACAATTACAATTGCAATTGATCAATTATATGTTTGATTACCATTTGCTCAAGTTTTAAAATCGTTTTTCATTACAAAAACATTCATTCATTTGTGACACTTATTGAATGTATTTCTATACTAAATAATTACATTTTTTTTCTTCGCTTTAACACAAAATAAATTATATCGACAGCAATAATTTCATCAGCATCATGAAAGTTTTAGCTATCTACATCCCATCAATCATTCCTTTTCGCAGCTCATATTTATGCTGTAAATCTAATGAAAATGTATCATTAAGGAGGTACTATTCAAATTTTTTCATTCAAACCTTCTTGCTTATTGAAACAAACTTCTTTAAGTATGGTTTCAAACTAAATATAAGCTTAGGTTAGATTATTGGACCTCCTTTTTTAAAAATGTAATGATTATATTAGGGATTTCTCAGATTTCAATACAGATAATCCATATTTCATTATTTACTTGAATGAATTCGAAAATTGTATCAGTCTTCTTTTACATAAGACTACGATGTTCTCTATTGACTTTATTTTGTAACTTGCTTTTACCTACCCTTATTATGCGATGATAGACCTACAATTTTAAGAACTTTTCTTTCAAATTTTTTTTTTATTAAACTTGCTCTTTAAATGGATTTTACTGGTGGTAATGTGCATTCAGTTTTTTTAATACGTAATAGTTCATAATGTGCAGCAACAAATTGACGAGTAAATTTTACAAGTTCATTCAAATTATTATCATTTGCTAATCGATCAATATGTTGAAAAACATAGAATTCATCAAGAATATACATCGATGTTGGTGGAACATAATGAAATGTATTTGGTTCACGGTCAGCATGAAACTTTACAAGTCCATCACGTTTTATTGTTTGTTCTGGAGTAAAAGCCCAAAATCCTGGTACAAACGAAGGTTGAACACCTAGTGATGCAGCGAAACAGTTAAGAGCCACTATAGAAAGAAATCTGTATGCATGTATATTGAAAACAAAAGAAGCAAGAAAAATTTCTTACCATCACTATAAGGTACATTTTCATTAGGCCAATCATCTTGAAAAAACAGATGTATTTTTGGATACATCATTTCCATCAAAGCAGCACTAAGAAAAAAACCAGCACCACCTGATGGATATAGAATGCGACGAACCGTTTGATTTTTCTTTTTATAACATGCATAATTGAAAGCATGACCACCAATAACAAGAGCTTTGGTATGATTAAATTCATCGAGACGTTTGAGTAAATGTGGAACATTTACAAATGTATCACAACCTGATAGAAAATAGAACTTTGCTGTTTGATTGTGTTCTTGATAAGCTATTTTCATTCCTTCATATAGTTTTTTCATATTAGACATATAGTTTTCTCCAGCACCTTCAATAACAGTTATAGGTAATGATGGATATGGTGTTGAACTAAAGAAATATTTATGTGTTACACGTGATAACCATGTATCTCGAGTTGCTAGTGCACGAGTTTGATAAAATGGTACACCTGTATAAATAATAAACACAATGTCACTTTCTACATATCGTTTGGCTGCAGTCCATTTATTTCGGGGTGTTGGAACAATGTTACAATAAGCTAAAAAATACATTGATATAAATATCATAGGATATCGATAAAGATTTAGTAGGACCAATGTTTAGTAAAACATTGATTATATTCATACTGACAATGGCTGACTACAGATTATATACTAAAAACAAAAATTCGAATGGTGATCATAACTGATAGATTGTTTGGATTTTTTTCTTATTTCTTTTTGAAGCATAGAAATACTCTTGGACATTTCTATGAAGAGATAAACAAAATCTCGAATACTTACGACGAAGTGCATTTACACGATGATCTTCAAATGATAAAGAAGTTGTTTTTTTATGTATACTATTTGTTTTTTCATAATCACAAATATAACTCTCGGTGCTCAGGTTACTAATATGAATCGTATGGTTGATTTCGTCGTTTGGAATAAGCTTTGTAATATTAGTAGTTATTGTAATATTTGTTTGGAAAGGTTTAAAACTCAATCCAACAATAAGTTTTTCAAAGGAAAACGGATAAAAGATTGATAAAATGAAATAAATAATACAAAAGAGACAAATAAT